ATTACTACTACTTTTACTACTACTATTACTACTAATATTACTACTAATATTACTACTACTATTACTACTACTATTACTACTAATATTACTACTACTATTACTACTACTATTGCTACTACTATTAGTACTACTATTACTACTACTATTACTACTACTATTACTACTAATATTACTACTACTATTACTACTACTATTACTACTACTATTACTACTACTATTACTACTACTATTACTACTACTATTACTACTAATATTACTACTACTATTATTACTACTATTACTACTACTATTACTACTACTATTACTACTAATATTACTACTAATATTACTACTACTATTACTACTACTATTACTACTAATATTACTACTACTATTAACTACTACTATTACTACTACTATTACTACTACTATTACTACTACTATTACTACTACTATTACTACTACTATTACTACTACTATTACTACTACTATTACTACTAATATTACTACTACTATTACTACTACTATTACTACTACTATTACTACTACTATTACTACTACTATTACTACTACTATTACTACTACTATTACTACTACTATTACTACTACTATTACTACTAATATTACTACTACTATTACTACTACTATTACTACTACTATTAAAAGCACAACAACTACAATTACTGTTACTAGATATACTTCCAATATTCCTGCTATGTGTAGACAAATGGTTCAGAGAACCGACAAGTTGATAAATTAGACATATGTGCAACTCTTGGGTATCTTTACTGAGGAAACGTTTCGCCACACAGTGGCTTCATCAGTCCGTACGTAGGAGAATGGTGAAGAACAGGAGGAGTTTGAGGTAATCAGTCCCCCAGCCTGGAGTCGACGAACTCAATCCATCAATCCTGAAAATAATATATATATCTGCCGAGAAGCGGCTTATATACTGTAGACAGGTGAGGTGCAGTAGTTGCAGGATTCGTCACAGTGGGTAAACCCACATGTGGAAGCAGGTCAAAACTATAGGTCATCCAACTTAAGAATATCATGTATTAAGACCCCAAGACGTTGGTGTGTCTGACCTACAGTCATGACCTTCTTCCACATGTGGGTTTACCCACTGTGACGCCTCCAGCAACTACTGCACCTCACTTGTCGACAGTATATAAGCCGCTTCTTGGCTCATATATGCTAGAATTTCCAAAATTTAGACAAGGACAATCATATTCTCGGTTACCATGACAACCTTCTTAATATACTTTCTCTGACTAAAAATTTAAAATCAAATTTGTACTCAAAAATCTTGATATAGTCAAAAAAATCTGATTAAAATTTTCCGAAAAAATACTGATAGCTGTGTCTATAAGATTCCCTGTTAAAAATACTGATAGCTGTGTCTATAAGATTCCCTGCTAAAAATGCTGATAGCTGTGCCTATAAGATTCCCTGCTAAAAATGCTGATAGCTGTGCCTATAAGATTCCCTGTTAAAAATGCTGATAGCTGTGTCTATAGGATTCCCTGTTAAAAATGCTGATAGCTGTGTCTATAAGATTCCCTGTTAAAAATGCTGATAGCTGTGTATATAGGATTCCCTGTAAGAAATGCTGATAGTTGTGTCTATAAGATTCCCTGTAAGAAATACTGATAGTTGTGTCTATAAGATTCCCTGTAAGAAATGCTGATAGTTGTGTCTATAAGATTCCCTGTAAGAAATGCTGATAGCTGTGTCTATAAGATTCCCTGTGAAAGATGCGATAAAGTTTATTATGGACAAACTAGGGAAAGTCTTAGGTTAAGATTATAACAAGATAAACAGAGCATTAAAATTAGACAAGCTTCTAATTAATTAGAACTAGACAAGCTTCTAATTAATTAGAACTAGACAAGCTTCTAATTAATTAGAACTAGACAAGCTTCTAATTAATTAGAACTGGACAAGCTTCTAATTAATTAGAACTAGACAAGCTTCTAATTAATTAGAACTAGACAAGCTTCTAATTAATTAGAACTGGACAAGCTTCTAATTAATTAGAACTGGACAAGCTTCTAATTAATTAGAACTAGACAAGCTTCTAATTAATTAGAACTAGACAAGCTTCTAATGCTCTGTTTATTCCTGTGAGAGATTTTAACCATCCAATTGATTTCAAATGGCTGAGGAAGTTGTATCAAACAAGTCTATGGCTGAAGAAGTTGTATCAAACAAGTCTATGGCTGAGGAAGTTGTATCAAGCAAGTCTATGGCTGAGGAAGTTGTATCAAACAAGTCTATGGCTGAGGAAGTTGTATCAAGCAAGTCTATGGCTGAGGAAGTTGTATCAAACAAGTCTATGGCTGAGGAAGTTGTATCAAACAAGTCTATGGCTGAAGAAGTTGTATCAAACAAGTCTATGGCTGAGGAAGTTGTATCAAACAAGTCTATGGCTGAGGAAGTTGTATCAAACAAGTCTATGGCTGAGGAAGTTGTATCAAACAAGTCTATGGCTGAGGAAGTTGTATCAAACAAGTCTATG